AAAAGCTTCTTCATTAGATATCTTTACACATCTATATAGTACTGATTCACATATTTAGATATGAATTGCTTCAACAATTCGTAGTGTAAAATATTTTTAATCATATTATTTATGTCATTAAAAAAGCTTTCTATAATGAATGGTTAGTAAAATGTTGTTGACTTGTATTTTCATGCTATAAAACTCTTATTTAAAGCTTCTTTCTGCATTCAAGAGTCTAATGCATCAACTACATCAAACATAATAGAGCTAGCGGAGACAGCCTTATGAATAAGTGCATTTATTGACTCAACACGTTGTGTTGATTGCATTCCAACAGTAAATATTCGATTTGTAAAGGCATGTGCCCAAGAATGGTGTGTTGTATAAATTGGATCAAGCAAATAATTATTAGCATTAGGGTAGGTATTTAATAAAGTTTGAAATCTTTGTTCAAAGATATTAATACATAATGAATTGCGTGCTTTCCAGAAGGCATTAATAAAAAGTTTATAATTAATAGAACCAAGCTTATTTTTAAGTCATTTTGGTAGATTTTGAGACAGGTGCCAAATACAATAAATATGATATACATTTTTATATATAATTTGACAAGCTGCATCCATAGCAGGATCCATGTCTATTAGAATGACTCGTGGCTCAATATTTGTTGCATCTAACGTTTGCTGTAAAACCTACTCATAACTCTCTTGCATTTCATCATTCAAAAAAGCTTGTGCTTCTAAACGTAACCTTCCATTATTATCAACAAGTATAAATAAAGATAAGAGATAATTATATTTATTGGTTCTTAAGGTGTTATCATGCAATACAATATCTGAGTAATGAGACCACAACACAATTTGATCCTCCATCATCCAAAATATACCACATAATCTATCACTGTCCTTATTAATAAAAGGTTGTATAAACATTATAGGTTCTTTTTTTTGTTTCTCAAAAAGATACTTCAACAATTGTGAAGCATCCAAACCAGTAATTTTATATTTGTGTTTAATTTTTTGAATGGCATTCGAAAGATCTTGGGTAAGAAAAAGTTGATCAGGAAATAATGGTTGTAATAAGTTCCTTATGGTGTGTGCATCACAATGTCCATAAATAACTGCTCGTTCAATTGCTACATTACATCTTGATCAAATTTTCGAAATGTAGTAGCAAACTTTGTATTATCAACATTTAAGTCATGATTATGATTAAGCTCGATAAAACTCACGTATACACCATTCTTACTTTCAAGATTACATAAATTAATATGCTATTGGCAATTTGTTTTCTTTGAACCTTTATTACGTTGTTGTTTAATTTGATTTGTTTTAACAGGTCTATATATACCAGCTTTTTTATATGCAAATGTTCTTTTTTTTACTGATCCATCAGATGACGATTCTGTTCTATATTTCTTGATCGCAAATCCTCTCTTCTTTCCATATTCTCTTATATAAAGTTCAGCAACTTCCCAAGAATCAAATTGCATACCATTAGATGGTTTATCAGATAAAGGACAACTAATAGAGGTAATGCCATCTAATTTTAAATAAAGTCTATTGGATTAAAAAACTATTACTAACAACATAATTCAAA